CAAGTGTTATGTATTACAAAAAGTGGATTATAAAAAGGTTAATTGAAATCACAAGCTTACTATAGCAAGGTTGAATCACATTAATTCTGTATTTTTAATTGGTTGGTCATATTTCCGGAAAATTTACCGTCCAATCAGAAATACATACAGAACAGTCACGCACAAATGACCGAACCCTGCTCATCTAACCCTTTAACTGACAAAGAAGCAAACAAAAAAAAAATAAATTTTAACAGAATAATTCGTCGCTCAAAAAAAAGTCGCAATTAATATTTTGGAACCTTGAAATAGAAAAATATTGCAACTTTTAAAAAAAAATCTCAACCATATTGACTTCCAATATAATACAAACACCATTCAGCTAAAGATAAAGTTGACGGAACTCATTAAACACATAACAAAGTATTGCTCTTGTTTTTTCGATGGGTCATCGATTCATTGTTAAATGAACATTCAAATGTGTTTTTATTTTTTTTTTTTTTTTAATAAGAAACCAATCCGCGGGCGGTCGTGCGGAATCACCGAATCGGAACTCGATTTTTGGCTTGCGTTCAATCAGATGTAGATGTAATTAACAACAAACAATGCCTGTCCAATGTAAGACGCGCGTACGATATCGTAAATTAATCGATTACACTTGCGGCCCCGTAGAAAACGTCGACCGGTTGTTAATCATCAACGCGTCTTACGTATATTATTTATTCCCTCTTCAGCAGACGATGGTTGAGGGGATGGGAGGGTGAGAGGCTCAGAGAAAAAGAGAGAGAGAGACGGGTACCTCACTTCATCTCAATGGCGATGAGAGCTGCCTATGGAACCGCCTTAAGGATATATTCAGCGTTATTCTAACTACCTTCGTAAATATGGGTAACTATCTTCGTAAATACGGCACTGCTGTCCTGACAAGCCATCGTTATCGAGTATTTTACTCTTTTTATTAATTTATTTTCCTTTGATATGATAGATTAGTCATACGATATTCCATGACATTTATTACTCGAGATTATTTGCGCTAAATTGTTTTTCATTCATTTTATATGCAATTTTACGTAAATTAATAGATACATAAAAATAAATATAAGACATAACTATTGTGCCGTTATTATTAACGGAGAAACGCAAAATTTTTGTTTTAAGTTGATAATATTAACAATAATAAAATAATAATAAATAATAATAATTAATAATAATGACGAGGAGAAGAAGACAAATTTTTCTAGCCAACCTAACCTCTAAATGTATTAAAACCTCTTTAAGCCCTAAGCACAATATGATCGCGAACGTGATACATGAGATGGAAAAGGATAGAGTCATATTTTTATTCTTTTTCATTTCCTGCATGCATCACGTTGGCATTGTTCTAAGAGCTTTACAGAATGAATATTAAGCTCGTTTTACAACATTGAAGAATATCTACTTTTTAACTTCCCATCCCTGAGAATAATCGTTGTTCACCAATTTCCTACCTGCCTACTTGCAGGAAAATTGGCGCAATATTTGAATAACACTAAAATTAAAAATTATTATATTATTAAAATATAATAATTAAAATTATTATATGAAGCTTATTTATTATTATTCCTCAAACTGAATATTAAAATAATGAAAAATACCATATTATGAATATTTTAAAGCAGTATTAATTATTATAAAATAAATTAATATGAGCAATATACAATTATGAATATAGTGTGTATTGAGGTACCATAACCTTAAAAAGTGACATGGATGTGTCTTTTGCGATAAATTGTAAATGTTATGAAAAATTTTTAGAATATTTATTGAAGAAATTGTAATTTTTTGTGTAATTTGTTATAACTAGAATTTTCATTTTTAACCTCTTGACAAAATTAACTAATTTTTCTAATTATTTTAATTATTATTATATAATATTTAAAATTTGTAAAACTCGTGTTATGATTATAGATTAGGATGTTTATATAATATAAAATGCTTTCATAATATTTACAACTTACCGCAAAAGACAAGTGTCTATCACTTTTTAAGGTTATGATACCTCAATACACGATTATATTCACAATTGTATATTGCTCATATTAATTTATTTTATAATAGTTAATATTACTTTAAAATATTTATAATGTGGTATTTTTCATTATTTTATTATTCAGTTTAAGAAATAACAATAATAATAAATATAATAATTTTTAAATTTAGTGTTATCCAAATATTGTGCCAATTTTTCTGCAGGCTGTCAAGCTGTGATTGTACCTTTAGGGTTTACAGAATGAATGTTAAGCTCGTTTCACAATATTGAAGAATGTCTAATTTTTAACTTCCTCTCCCTGAGAACAATCGGTTGGTTTCCATTGTCCCCAATCGTCATTTGTCATAATTCTCTTCAACTACCGCACCCTGTTCTAGTGAAAATTAAGTGACTTTATACTCAAAATTAATAGTTACAATAAAGTCACTAAATTTTCACTAGAGCAGGGTGCGGTAGTTGACGGAGCGACAGTTATTTATTCCAATGATATTGGCGGCAATTTTTAAATTATAATTTCGAAAATACTTATAATTACATTTTAAAAAATCAATTAACAATATTGACTAAATAAATAATTTATTCTAAAAATAAAAGAAATAAATAAATTGTATAACTAGTAAAATAATATATCAATATATCAATAAAAAATTGGAAAATATTAATTACAATTAATTTTAAAAACAATTATCGTTTTATTAATATGAAAAGAAGGGACATTTTTTTTTTGTAAATAAAATTAATTGAGAAGGTGTCAAAAGTGTTAAGTGCGATCCTCTCCCACCCATTATGTAGATGAATGAATTGTTGAACACTTGTCACGCCTCGCTAATTAAGATTCAGTCATATCTTCACTCCCTTGAAGACCCGGGTCTCTGTTATGCATTAAACTGCAGGTGTAAAGAAAGTTGTTTAATATTTATCCTCTATCGTTGCTGATGATAATGATGATGATGATGATGATGATGGTGGTGGTGGTGGTGGTTGGCACCATTGAGTTCCTTGCGTTTGGCCCATTAAGATTCGTAAAGGCTACTCTGTCAATTCAGGGAAAATATATTAAAATACGACACCTCAAGATTGATCGATTGCAAACACGATTGACGAGAGATAAGATTCCCGTCAATTCTTCTCGTTGAGAGATGCATTTTTCTCAATATTTTTTTTTTTACAATTTTTTCATGAATGAGCATAAATACTTTTGCATATGCAAACTAATCAATCCCCTCGATCTCTATTCAAAGAAAAACGGATGCAGATTTATATAATTATATATCATCTAAAGATCTTTAATTTCCCAAAAAGAAAATATCTAAACGAAATTGTAGGTTTTACCTTTCTTTTTTAATGGAAATTCAAAAAATTTGAAAAGAGTTGAATAGCGTCGAATAAATATTTTGATGGTAGTGTATATATAGTGAATGCCGGAGAGATGAATAGAATATAATGCATATAAGACAATAAAGAAAGTTGCCGCGTTAACGGAATGTTGGCTTGAAATGTTTTTATCATCTCTCTCTTTCTCTCTCTTCCATATTATAGTAATGATATTTCTTTTGCCGCCGTCACTGCCGCAGAGAGAATAGCGCGCGAAGTTTAATCATGAATACGCTCCTGAACATTAATATCTAATGAGGCTATTAGCACACGCGGCAAATGTTGCAGAAGGCTCGAACCAAACGTTTATGACACTAGATGACCTCCCTGAGTGAGCTTCTATTAAGAGTCGCGTGATCCTTTTAAGTAAGACATTACTAGGTGTGAGTTGATCTCGTTACAAGCAGGTTTCGGATAAAATTGCCATAAGAATTCACAGCAGATATTATTTTTTTTTTATTTTCTTTTAAAATTTTTATTCAATAAGTAAATGCAGTTCTTTTAAAAAAAAAAAAATATTTCCCTTTTTGGACACAATTATAAATAACGAGTTATAATTTCCATTTATTGGATCACTTTTTTGATTATATATAGAATATTGATGTTGAAACAAAGGATAAATAATGAAACTACTAAATAAGTGCGATAAATAACGAAAATAACTTCGTGCAGAAGAAGAGCGCACCAACTTGACTTTGTTGATTTCGATAAATATTGAAAATTATAATTGATCATAGTATTTCTGACACGGGAGTGGAGTATAAAGACCCACTAGGTAGAAATTTTTAAGAAAATTTAATTTTAAATTTGCCATAGTGAAAAATTATTACTAGCGCACAAAGTTAACTGACTACAGTAGTCAACGTCTAGGGTTCGAATCTTCCCTCGAATATTTTTTTTCTTGAAAAAAAATTACCGGGAGTTCAATAATACATTTAAATTTTAATTATAGGATACAACAAATAACAGTTGGATTAGAATAAAATAAATAATTTTTGATTTAATAGTCAAAATTACAATTTTTTTCAAAAATACAGCATAGTGGGTCGTTTTACTTGATATTTTACGTTAGTAATACCAAGATCTTTAATTTTTGTAAGTTTCATCAAAATTGACAAAGTCAAGTTGGTGCGCTCCTTTTATTAGTTGATTAAATTATTATTATTATTATGCTTTTTATTTTTATTATAATAACTATATTATTATAAAAATATTTTTTATATACTAAGTAAATACAAAAAATTTCTTTTAATACTGGTAGGAGAAATTTTCTAATTAATTCGCCAAAATACGAAAAGTGATATTGCCCTAAATTTTTGAAATGACAGGAGAAATAAAATTTACTTGATTTAAATAAGTCTTTGCTAATATCTTCTATATGTATATACGGTGTATATATAGTGTAACATAATCGTAATTTATAGCACGTGTCATAACCGCTTAATCACTTCTTGCATGTATCATTAAGAAGAATTAATAGCCATAAACACAAAACGAGAGTTCTCGCGGGCACTACTTTATAAGACCTTTATATATATATATATTTATATAATTTAAAACCAGGAAGAAAATATGATTTTAATTCATTTCTAATCAAATGAAAAATTTTCTGTTACAGATTCGTGTGATCCAATAGTGGAACGACCTTACGGTGAGTTAAAATTTTTTTTTTCCTCCAAGTTAGTTAATATTTATTTTATTTGCCAATTGGCCTTATAGGAAAAAAGAAAATCGTAACACGTATATATATATACCAAATAAGTCGCTGTGAAAATTGCCGAACAAGATAATATTGATTATTTTTTTTTTCATCTTTTCATATATTCCACGAATTGAAACGAATATTTGAAATCTATAAAAGCCTTTTGTTCTCTCAGTTTCTCTTTTCCTTTTACGATTTGCAATAAAATGCAAGTTGAATATCTCGTTCAAAGGTTTATGCATAGAAGTTTCTCGATCTTAGAGATATTCCAAGAATTGGCTATACTAGTACTGTATATAATATAAATATACATATATAGTTGTATCTAATATAATTTTGTCCAATAACTTGGGAAAAAACCGTTGATTCGTTTTTATAAAAAAAAAAAAAACAAGTACTCGATTCACAATTTTCAATATGTCTCATTTTATATATATATATATTTGTATATAGGTTATGGTTTCGTTTATAGTACAGTTAAAATTCATATTTAATTGGATATTCAGAGTGAATTTAATATTTTACTTCTTCGAAGAAATAGGAATTTTCATATATTTTTCTTAAAAAAAAAAAAAATTCTGAACTTCATCTGTTTACATTAAGTATTCAACCTTCGATTCAATTTGCTTTCTTAGAACTCACTGTAAATTTTACGACATTTCAAATCTAAATGAAGTCATTTTTTTCTCAACGTGTATCGAGAATGTAAATATTTTTTTTATTATTTGTATTATTATTATTTATCTAATTATTATTATTAATTATATTATCAATAATTAATAATATTATAAATTAAATTATTAATAATTTATTATTATCATTATTTTTATTATTATTATTATTATTATTATTATTATGTAAATATTATTATTATTAGTATTGTTATTTACCATTTATTTTCATTTTTCAATGTTATTTCGTATCCATTTTTTAATTTAATTAGATTAGTTAATTAAAAAATTGTCATAATCGTAAAAATGCGCGGTTGTTTACACTTCCGGTATTAAAATTATTGTCTATAGTGTGCGCGCGCACAAAAAAACATCGACAAGGAGTTATAATAATTCACTGATGGGTTCTTTCCCGCATGATATACACAGTGTTACCAATAACCAATGGAAAATAATGTTGGTAGCACTTGAGTTTTTCTCTATGGCAAGTTTTTAGAACACGCCTTAAAAAGAGACAACATTATTTAGTATATATTTACTACCTACAACAATGTTGTATTAAGAGTAGATTCATAAAAAAAAACAAAATAAATTTAACCGTTTATAATTAAAGACTCTTTTTTGTTATTAATTAAAAAGTATGTAATATTTTTAATTAAGAATTTTTTTTCTAATTCTCTACCATTTTTTTGGTTATATGCAAAAATAAATACAATGATGCTGTTCTTCCGGTTTGACGATATTATGCAAAGTCTAATAATTAATAATTTTATTAGTTCGTGACTTATGGTGTAAAGGCCAAAGCAGAATAGAATTGGATACGGAAAATGGGCATGAGATAGAAAAGAATAGAGATAGTTTCTGTCTTTTTCTATCTCATAATAAATGACAGAAATATTGCAGAGGTAAAGCAGGGTTGGGTAGGGACGCGTCGAACGTTTATGATTGGCCGATAATATTTCCGGAAATATCACCAACCAATCAGAAACGTTCGACGTGTCGTTACTCAGTTTTCGCAGAAGTGATCAAAAAAATAACCTCCAGCTAAATGATGTTGATGCAAAGGATCCATGGAAATGTTTTCGCGAGGTAAAACAAAAAAATCTTATATCCGGTAACATCTACCATGATATATACATATATATATATATATATATATAGTGTATAATGTATATATGTTGTCATGGACGGAATGCACCAAATGGTATAGTCGTAAAATTCAGCCTTATGCGATTCGGGAGGGGGACTATGTTTTGCCCCTTGTGAGATTATGATTACCCCATCCAAGCGCAACGGTGGCAGACACACATATAGTGCAGCAGCCGTGGCTAATATCACGCAATAATCCAAGTCGTCGGTCGGGTCCATGGGACTTGACTCTTCTTCGCTTGAGATTCTCCTTCTGCTGTTTCTGCCCCCCTCCTCCCTCTTTCCCTGCTTCCTCTTTCAAGGCAGTAGCACATATAATGTGTGCCACCAAAACTCGATGGTGCAAACGACCATCAGCAGTAAACTTATCTCCCCGAGTGTGTGAAGACATCAAAAGAGCCGCGCCGACCACTCGGGCGATATTGCCGCGAATTTCTTTGAGTATCTTAATTTTCCTTTTCGTGAGAGAGAGAGAGAAAAGTTCTGTTTCATCAAGAGACTTTTTCACTGTCCCTTTTTTATAATAGAGCAGGACAATAGAAAATTTAATCCATTTAAATCACATTTTATATTTCAAATCTTGTTATCACAATACATTTTTTTTACACTTTTCATACAATCGATTTTTTTTATTATAAAGAAATTTTGCCAAATTCGGAATCAGTGACCCCAAAAACCCCCCATGAGGTTAGTTTAAAACAAAATTGTTGAATATATTCAGAGAAAAGAGAGTGTTGAGGAAATTTGTCCAAAAGGGGCGGAGCTATTAAGGAATGTGGGCAAATTGGGCGGTGCTAAGAAAAATACGCCCTACAACTACGCAGTTATTGATATTTTTCAAACATAGTTGAAAAGCCCTGAAAAAGTAAGTTTCAAGCAGATTTTACAAAAACTAGACCAGAAGGCGGTTTCTAGCGATAAATTGTCCAAAAGAGGCGGAGTTATCAACGAATTGCCCAAAAAAGAATTTTCTCTACAGATAATTTGTCCTTGACCTTCAAAATTTGTCATGTCAAAAGAAAATATGTCCGAAGGGGCGAAACTAAGTCGAATTAAACCAAAAAGGACCGGGCAAAGTAAAATTTATTCAAAAAAGGGTGGAGCTTTTAAAAACAGACCAAACGAAAGGCGGAGCTATGAAAAATTTGTCTAAAATATGCGGAGCGAAGCAAAATTTATTTGAAAGGGGCGGTACTACAAAAAATTTTATCCAAAATAGGCGGTGATAATGCGAATTAAATTAAAAAAGGCCGAACCAACTAGAACTTATCTAAAAGGGGCGAAGAATTGGATTAAAAAGAGGCGGTGCTAATGCGAATTGAATGAAAAAGGGCGAAGAAAAACTGAAATTTATCAAAAAAAAGGGTGGAGCTACAGTAGAATTGATTAAAAAAAGGCGGAGCAAATCAGAATTTATCAAAAATGGGCAAAGATAATGAATAGTTTACTGAAAAAAAGTTAAAATAAATTTATCTGAAAAGGCGGGTCCATAGAATATTTATCCAAAAGAGGCGGAGCGAACCATAATTTACCTAAAAGGGGCGGTACTATGAAGAATTTGACCAAAAAAGGCGGGGCTATTGATTATTTACCCAAAAGAGGTGGAGCGATGCATAATTTATCTAAAAGGGGTGGTACTATAAAGAATTTGACCAAAAAGAGGCGGTACTAATTCAAATTTAATAAAAAAAAGAGGCGGAGCAAACTAATTTGTTAAGGAAAGAGGTGGAGCCACAGTACAATTGCATAAAAGGCGGAGCAAACCATAATTTTTCAAAAATAGGCGGAATCAATGAATAGTTTACTAAAAAAAAAGTTGTCCGAAAAGGTGGGGCTATTGAATATTCGCCCAAAAGAGGTGGAGCGAACCAAAATTTATCTAAAAGGGATGGTACTATGAAGAATTTGACCAAAAAGAGGCAGTACTAATGCAAATTTAATGCAAAAAAAGGGCGGAGCAAACCATAAATTATCAAAAATGAACGAAACCAATGAATATGTTACTAAAAAAAAATTAATATTTTGTCCAAAGAGGGCAAACATGATGTAGAGTAATTAAGAATTATATCAATAAAAATTAATATTACAATAATTATCAAGGTACAAAAATTCCTACATAAATTTTTCAAATTCGTATTTAGTGAATCAAAAAAAAACTAAAAATTCAAATCTGATAAAAATTGATTTATATATCTTTAATACGTCTAAGTGAGCAGTTCGAATATAATGAAGTGTCATTTATATTAAAAAGCAAATCCGGACTGACAAAAAAAAAAAAAAATGACGGTGTGGAATTTAAAAGAGCGCACAACGATGGGTGATGGAATCAACAGGTTCCGTTATGAGAGTGTAAAGCGTTTTGAATCCACCCTCTCTTGAAGGGTATGAATCCTTGGCGCGAATCTTGTTGTAAGGGGTGACCCCTAACTGCGGGGGGTCGGTCGGTTAAGGCGCCTATGTACATCAAATGGTATATCAGGGTTGATTCTCGACCCCTGACTGTCTCACACACACACACATAAATATATACATATACATATAAACATCGTTGAACATAGACGATTAAGGCAAGATGAAACTTTGCAAGCCCCCAATGGAAAACTTAAAATAACACACAGCTCGATCATCGGGACGTCTTCGCCGACAGGCAACAGCCTACTTTCGTATTCCCTCTGTTATGTCTCCTACAGGAGAACAAGATCCCTCCTGTCGACACGCGTCTCTCTTTCTCTCTTTCCATAACCTGGCTCAAACGATACGATTAAATCGACCCCTTCAAAGAAAAGCAAAGCGTCCGACAAAATAGGAATTTTTAAACATATATCTCTAATACATTTACACAAAAAGGAAAAGGGTGGAAATATTTTCTATTTGAATATATATTCATATGTACTTTTTACAAAAGGGGGAAATCAATTGATATAACATAATTTATATTAAAAATAATTATTGCTTCCCTGAAAGTATTTTCGATTTTAATTAGAAATTTAATATTAATTGAAGTAATTTTAATTTAACTATAAAATTATATTTAATTAACGCTGTTGGGGATTATACGAATTGCAAACATTGATCAAGATTATTTCTTATCATTTTCTCACTGTTATATTATTATTGCCATTATTATTA